GTATGAATGACTAGTAGGAAAAGCGTTCACGTTCCAACAATTTCTCTTTTGACAGGAAGCAGGGGCCTCAGCCAGGAACGGCTCTCTGGCTGGCGGAGCGTCAGGCGTCATCAGCAAAGGCTCACACGTATTCAGCCCTCAGTGACAGGTGCCACCAGGAGGGCTGGTCATGGGTTAAGTCATTTCGTTATTATTTTTAAAAATATTTATTCTTGAGACACAGAGAGAGCATGAGCAGGGGAGAAGGGCAGAGAGAGGGAGACACAGAATTGGAAGCAGGGTCCAGGCTCTCGATGCAGGGCTCGAACCCACAAACCGTGAGATGATGACCTGAGCCGGTCAGATGTCCAACCGACTGAGTCACCCAGGGGTCCCTGCATGAAGTCTCTTTTTTATTTTTTTTGCTTGCATGAAGTCATTTAAATCCATCTCGCTATGTGGGAGAAATAAGGGCCACCCACTTTGGAGCTGGGGGGTGGGGAACTGAGGCAGCCGGGGAGCAGCCAGGCGGGGGCTCCGATCCAGGCAGAGCCCGGGAGAAAAGCGCTGGGAAGGAAGAAGCAGCAGCCAGTGCCAGTCGTGGGGAGGCCGTTTTGCTTTCCTCCGAGATTAGGGGCTGACGACCCAGGCTGAGTCTGCGCCTGGACTGGGCCCAGAATCCCAGTGTGGCTCTACCCGTTGGCTGGCCGGATCCTGTGGAGGCGTCTGTTGCTTCCCTTCCTCCGGCCTGAGCAGTTGCACACTTACAAGAGTGAGCCAGCCGAGAACCGAGCTTGAGGACGTGATCCACGTTGGCCCCTGGGCCCGCTCCTCTATGCCCGGATGCAATTTTTCTAGATTACTCAGCTTTGGGGAGGGAAGCTGGGCCAAGGACAAACCCTTGGTGAGAACAGACTGTTTAGGGAACAGGCCCACCTCCTTCACCCTCCCTCCTCCAGGAGCCCGGGGAGCGGGCCGACTCCCCGCGGGGGCGGGGCATGGGCGGGGCAGGTGGGTATGGGCGGGGCAGGTGGGGGCAGGTGGGGGCGTGGGCGGGGCTGGCTGCAAGTGGACGTCCTCAGGCTCCGCCCCTGGCAAGCCCAGCCGCTATCGGGAAGTGTGGCTGGCTGCTCTCGGGGACACATTTTCCTGCCTCCCCTTCCTGCTGCCTGCAACCTCCCGGGCTCGGGCTCGGGAAGGTCAGGGCCAACTGGCATTTGGCGCTCGCACACGATAGTGTGGGTTCCTCATCCTGCTTCCTGCGCTCCCCCATCTGTGTGGTACTGGCTGCCTCCTCCACTCCCTCAGAGCCTCTGTTTCTTCATCTGTATAGTGGGGTGACGGCAGCACGGGCCCTGACGGCTACCGTGAGGATTACACGGGCAGTTGAGAGTGTTTGGCTCGGGGCCTGTGTATACTACCTGCCATTAACCCGGGCCTCACTTGCCTACACCTTCCTCCTCCCCCACGTCTTTTTTTGTCTTTTCTATTTTTAATTTTTGCCACTCTGTGTATCCAGATGACGTGTTCTTTACAAGGGGCACTCAGCTGTGCGTGTTCCTGAAGTACTGAGAGTAGAAATCACATGTCCCTCTTTGGTGACAGTGCCACTGGCCCCCTCCAGGGCCAGCAGCCTCACAGAGCTCGACCCTCAGACCCCAATTGCAATTTAATGCCCTGAGATCGTTTTCTTGGAATTCTTAATAACTTCATTTGTTGGATTTGTATTGTGTGAGCGTGGCCCAGTGGGACAATGGTGCCCGGGGACGTGGCTCACAGGTTTACATCCCTGTCACTCTGTGGGGGCCTGGACACAGGTGCAGGGAGGCTTAGGGCCAAGCCTCTGGGCCCTGCCCCCCAAATTACACGGCCCCGGTGCCGTGAGGGTCTGCATGTGTCCCACAAGTGTCCCCATGCCCAAGGCACACGGCACAAAACAGCACCACGACAGATCGAGACTGGGGAAGAAAGGAAATCGCTTTCTCGCTGCCTTTTGAACGAGGGGCCCCACATTTTCACCTTGCCCTGGACCCTGCAAAGGTTCCATCTGGTGCCCGAACCTCAGAAGTTTCAGGGCGCTGAGCCATTGTCAGGGGTACCCACCAGAACAGCCTTTGGGGGGTTATTCAGAGCCTTGCAAAGATGCGTTCCTCTGACCCAGCAACTCCACTTTATCATTAGAGATGTGCACAAAGCCGTGTGTGCAAGAATGTTCCCCCTGCGTTATTTATAACAGTGAAAGCAGAGCGCGGGGTGGAGGGGGGAGTCAAACACACAGTCAAGGTCGGAGGATCAGATGCCCCTGTAGAAGCACGTCGTAGAGGAGAACTTATGGCGTGAGAAAAACTCATGATATTTAACCAAGAGGAAAAAAGACTGTCCGCAAAGGGCCTTACCACGTGACTTCATTTGCATAGATGTGTGGGCAGTATATGCATGGGGAACATACTGGGCTGATTTACACTTAAGTACTGACAGCTGCTCTCCTTAGGTGGGTGAGTTTTTTCCCCTCTTGTGGGTGCGTGTTTCCAACTTCCACGTATGGGGTGCACATCACTTTTACCCTCGCACAGAGGCACGGTGGTGCAGTGCGCAGGGTTAGTTTAGACCTGCAGACTGTGGAGCCTGACTGCCTGGGTTCAAAACTCCGCTCAGCTCCCGCCAAGCTCTGTGACCTTGGCCCAGTGATTTAACTTACCTGGGCCTCAGCAATAGCACTGCTAGGAATTTACCCAAGGGATACAGAAATGCTGAGGCATAGGAGCACATGTACCCCAATGTTCATAGCAGCACTCTCCACAATAGCTAAAACATGGAAAGAGCCTAAGTGTCCATCAACAGATGAATGGATCAAGAAGATGTGGTTTATCTATACCATGGAATACTACATGGCAATGAGAAACAATGAAATCTGGCCATGTGTAGCAACATGGATGGACCTTGAGGGTGTTATGCTGAGCGAAATAAGTCAGGCAGAGAAGGACAAATATCATATGTTTGCACGTATAGGAGGATTAGGAGGAACTTGACGGAGGAACAAGGGGGAGAAGAAGGGCGGAAATGGTGGGGGAAAGGGAGAGAGGCAAACCATGAGAGACTCTTGAATGCTGACAAAAACTGAGGACTGATGGATGTGGGGGGGGGATGGGCATGGAGGAGGGCACTTTGGGGATGAGCACTGAGTGTTATGTGGAAACTAATTTGACAATAAACTATTTGTAAAAAAAAAAACAAAAACAAAAAAACAAAAAAAAAAACTTACCTGGGTCTCAGTCTCTCCATCTGTAAACATGGCAAATAATACTACCTCCCTCAAAGAGGCACGGAGATGAAATGAGTTAATAGGTGCAGGGGGCTTAGAGCAATGCCCAGCACATAGTAAGCTGCATGTAGTATTGATGTTATTATTGTAAAGAAGTTATATAAGGGAAAAACCTGAGAGACAACAATATTACCAATCATTAGTTTGGGGCGGTGCAGAAGTGAGTGCTTTATTTTTCCTTTTGGGCTTTTCTGTATTTCCCAAGTTAGGCAGGCACTGCTTTTTTAGAATTTGAGAGAAAATATTAAGGAAAGGGGGAAAAAAGGTAAAAGGGTGGTGCACTGTGTTGGGGAACACAGGATGGAGTCGGGTTCTGCATGAAAACAGCATGAAGTCTGCATGCTATTCTGATCAAGGTCACGAGTGCATTATTTTTTTTTAAATTTTTTATTTCTGAGAGAGACAGCGTGAGTAGGGGAGGGTCAGAGAGAGAGGGAGACACAGAATCCGAAACAGGCTCCAGGCTCTGAGCTGTCAGCACAGAACCCGACGTGGGGCTCGAACCCACGAACCGTGAGATCATGACCTAAGTGAAAGTCGGATGCTTAACCGACTGAGCCACCCAGGTGCCCCACGAGTGCATTCTTGAGCTTGTCCCAGGCCCTTATTCCAGGCCTCCCCATCAGGTGTGACCCTCCTCCTTCATAAAAGATCCAACATCCGGTGAACAGATGCCAATGCCAAATTATAGGCTCTCACAATCAAATATCTATAGCTAAATCTTTCCAATAGATGTGTACCCATATACACATAGAGATACATATATCGTTCACTATATTATATCCATCCAACTACTATATATATAATATGTATATATAGACAGAGAGAATCGTTAACTACTGCTATAAAAAAGAATACTTCCCACCCACAGCCCCCGAATAGAGCCCTAACATGAGACTGACCATGGTGATATGGTAATTGCTCACTTACTTGTTTGCCTCCCTGCCTAAAATTCCTGAAAATGTCTTCTTTCTCTCTCTGGCACGTACCACAGTGCCGAGTGCATAGTAGAAATTCCCTACAAGTCTGTTGAATGAATTAAGGAATGAAAGCGTGCCCGAGTTCAAGGAATGGCAGACATTCACATGTCAAGATACAGACGTAGAACGAGATGCGGGATTAGCTTTGTTGGGGTGGAGATGGTTCATGGCAGGGTCCAAGATGAGCAAGTAAGGCTTCCGAGTGAAGATGATGCCTGACTGAAGGACTGGAGAGTGGGCCCGTTTGTCCCCACAGAAAACGGGAGAGAGACGGAGGGACCCGGACCCAGGCAGCCACTAGACCCAAAGCCACTAGACCCTTTGTCTCCATGGGTTTGCCTGTTCTGGGCACTTCGTGTAACTAAAATCCTACCATATGTGTGCTTCTTGTGTCTGACTTCTTTCACTTAGCGTAACGGTGTCCAGGTTCACCCAGGCTGTAGCAGGAGGCAGGTTTGACAACGGGTAGACTGGCGGGCTATAGTTAAATTCATTCATTCCACAAGTATTTACTGGTTAAGGAGCGCCTACTGCGCGTCAGTCCTGAGGGCCCAGCCGGGAATAAAACTGAGAGTAAACTCTTTTCTGGAGGGTTTCTAGTCGGGGAGAGAGACAATAAAGCAAATGAATAAGAAAGGGATTTGAAATATTCGACGGTGCCCAGAGTCAGGTGAAGCACAAAGCTCAAAGTGGCGACAGAGGGGGGAAGGTGACCTTACCTAGAGGGGTCAGCGGAGGCCTCACTTTAGGGTGAGCCCAGCGGGTTGATGACCCCTCGCAGCGCTCAGGTGGGTCCTTAGGGGCCGCGACAGGGACGTTGGACGGCCCCACGGGGCCTTCGCAGCGCGCGGGGACGAGTCCGTGGCTGGGGAGGATGTGGGGGGGTGGGGGGTGGGGGGTGGAGGAGGGGCTGCGGCTGAGGGTGGGCGCTCCGGCCCCGCCCCCTCCCACGGCCGCGCTCACCGTTCCCCCTCCTCCGGCCGCGCGCACCGCCCCCTCCTCCTTCGGCCGCGCGCACCGCCGCCTCCTCCCCCGGCCGCGCGCACCGCCCCCTCCTCCCTCCTCGCCCGGCCGCGCGCACCGCCCCTTCCTCTATCTGGCCGCGCGCACCGCCCCCTCCGCCCTCCCCCGGCCGCGCGCACCGCCCCTTCCCCCCTCCTCCCCCGGCCGCGCGCACCGCCCCCTCCGCCCTCCCCCGGCCGCGCGCACCTCCCTCCCGCCCTCCCCAGCGCAGGCCCCGCCTCGGCGCAGGCTGAGCCCACCTCCTCGCGGCCGCCGCCATTGGCCGCGCGCGCCGCCTCCGCCCTCGGCCTCGCACTTCCTGGCGGAGCCATGGCTGCGCAGCCGGCCGGTCCCGGGGCTCCGGCGACCCGGCCCCGCCGCCGCGCCCGCCCGGTCCCGCCGCCGCCGGGGTTCCCCGCGCCGCTGCCGTAGCGCGCCCTCCAGGTGGGCCTCCGCGCGCGCCGTCGGGGGGTGGGTCCGGGGGGTCGGGAGGGCCCCCGCCGCGCGAGCGCGACCCCCGGCCGCGCCGCCCCCTCCCCCTCCCGGCGTCCCGCGGTGCTGGGGGGGGCGCGGCGGGAGGGGGAGCACGGAGGGCCGCGGCCGCCCCCGCAGGTGAGACAAGTGCGGCCTGCGCGGCCCGGCGCGCGCGGCCCAGGTGAGTGTCCCCGCGTCCCGCCGTGGGCGCCGTCCCCGCCGCCGCCCGACTCCGCCTCCCTCCGCCCGCTCGCCGCCCGCCCAAGCCTGCCGGGCGGCCGTTGTGCCGGCAGTTCCGCCGGGGTGGGGGGGGCGCGGGGGGGAGCGTGCGGGTGCGAGCGGGAGACCGCGGCGGCCCCCAGACCCTGCCCGCGAGACCCGGGGCTGGTGAGTAGCGGCAGGCGTCCGAGTCCATTTCCCGATCGCCGAGGTCCGGCAGGTTCAGGGTGGAAACCGGGAGGCAGCGCGGAGAGCAGGCTCCCGGGGGACCCTCCGTCCGGACGTGGCCTCCGGCCCCATGTTTACTAAGAGACTTTTTAACGCGGAACTGGGGATTGCCGCTGCGCGTGCAGATGGCCTTGACCCCTTCATGTGCTTCCAGAAAGCACGCGAGGCGGCTGACACCCGCGCTCCCATACACATGGGCCCCAAACCACTTGCCCCGAGACAAAAGGAGCTTCCACCAAGAGTACTCTCGCCAGAAATCCTGGCCTAGAAAAGAACGCTTTTAGCGCCGAGAGCAAACGTGAGCTTTGGCTAGTGGCGGGGGCGGGGTGGGGGCGGGGTGGGGGGAGAGCAGGACCTGCTGCTTTCTGGGGTGTGACCTTGGACGGGCCCCTCTACCACCTGAGCGTCAGAGTCTCAGAGGGTGAAGGTAAAACTTCTAGCAGGTCTTGCCGGAATATTGATTCCCTTCCCTTCCCTCTTGAACCTCCCATCAGTCCAGGGGGGGTCAGAAGGGACAGGGGGGTGGGTACAGCTGGCCTTTGTCACAAAGTTGCTAGTTCGTCCAGAGAAATCTAGCTGTCCTTTCCTTTCCCCCAGGGAACTGGACAGGATGGATTGTGCCCAAATTTGGAGCCCCCCCCACCCCATCGTGTGTTCCCCATTATCTTGACACAATGTTTACATTCTGTGACATTGTTCTTTATTAGCCTAGGCTGTTTGTTCAATGTGTAACAGATTGACTCTTCCCAACTCAGATAGCAAGGGGAAGAAATCCCTCCTTAAACCCAGCAGGTGACTTGTGCCCATGCAGCTTAAGTCCTTTCTCTGTGCTCCCACACACTCCAGGTCCCCCAAAGCCCGGCTCTCTACTACTGTCAGTGAGTTACTTGGCATTTCAAAGCTGGAAGAAACTTGAACTTGTCGGATAGAGCGGCCCATCCCGCGCACTTGCTTACCAGATCTAGAGAGGGGAACAGAAGCGATCGGTTTTACACTGGGTGGTCCAGGCAGGGCTTAGGCCTCAGCAGAGGTTTCCTGCCTGTGGGCAATTTGTTAGTTCCTTTTGTTTTTCTTTTTTGAAAGGCCAGGCAGGGTAGCTTAGGGGTTGAGAGCAAGGAGGCCTCCCTGGTTTGGGGTCCCAGCTCTGCAGCTCTTCCTGGCTGTGTGCCCTGGGCAGTAGCGTTGGCCTCACGGGTTTTTTTTCTGGGGGGATTAAATCAGCGAAGACACAGGAAGGCACTTCAAGGAAAGTACCTGTGTCGAGAATGTGGACGTGTTTTATATGAGGCGGTCACCACTGGGTCACGGCCCTGCCTTTGTCATGGTATTTTGAAAGTCAGGTGTTCTCAAAGACTGGGAGGTCTTCAGCGGGGCTTCGCGGTGCCGGGCCCCTGTCTGTCCACTTTTGGGGGCTGGACGGACCCAGGTTTGATTCCCAGCCATTTACTAGCTTGGTGACCTGGAACTCCAGGTCCTCATCTGTACAGAGGGATGTGACGTTCGCCTGGCTGAGTAGTTGCGGGGCTTCAGTGACACAGCACAGGTAAATCCCTTGGCTTGGTTCCAGGTCTACCGTTATATTTTGATCCAGCCAAAGGCCGGGTTGAGATCAAGCCTCAGAAGGTAGGTATTCGTTGGAGGTGGGCTGTAAAAGCCACGATGTTGTCAGATTTTAGTTAATAACGGAACAGTGGTAAATGCTCTATCTGCCTCTAACCACCTGACTTTTTCAACTCAGCACTCAGCGTAAAAGGGTTCTCGATAGCGCACCTTCTTCTCTCCGTCTTTCCTCCGCGTGATTAATGGATGACCCGGGGTTCGTTATTGCACACTCAGAAATCTCGTTCTCGTCCTAGGGCTGCGATCTCTTCTATGATGGAGGGAAGCCGGCAGACGAGAGTGTCCCGGCCGTACAAGATCAGCGAATCCTCAAAGGTCTGTGAATGGTCGCTCACCACCTGTGCAAGTTGCCCAGAACGTGTGGTATTTTTCTGATGAGCTCAGTCCTGAAGGACTGACTTTCTGTTGGTGGTGGTGGTGTTGGCCTCCTTAGCAATGAATGGAGAGGTAGCACGGGCCCGGGGTAGGAAACATCCGAAACCCAGAGCCGGGGCGCGGGGGACATTAGAGATATACCTTGACTCGCTTGTTCTTTGCCTCAACTCAAAGACGTGGATGGGACAGAAGGAGAAAGCCATGGGACGTGTGTCCCCACCTGGGGGCTCAAAATCTCCAAGGACACATCCATGGACAAGCCGGCATCCGACCTCACAGTCGGGGCCCCATGTTGCATACCTGGATGTTAAGGGCCCAGAGTCTTCCCCCACTCGTGGCTTTCTGGGACCCTGGGAGCCAGTGAGGGTGGGTTCCCCAGGGCCGGCCTACCTACCTGTGTCGTGCTGGCCACATCAGGGTCACCCTGGGAGAAGCTGGGGGAGGGGGGAAGGTATCTAATTAGAAATGCATATACCCAGCCCCACCCCAGACCTACTGAATTACCGTCTGAGAGCAGGACCTGGCAATCTATACCTTCAGCAGACTCTAGGCTACTATAAATAAGGACAGAGGGGACCAATTTGCGGGCCAGTCTCCGTCCACACCTCTTTTATAAATATTAGTAACGTCTCTTTTTTTCTTTAAAAAAATTCTTTTTATCACCCTTTTGCTTTAAAAGTGGCCCTTTTGGAGATTTAAATTTTACAGTAACCTCAGATCACACATTTTCAGTGGAGCCAGTATTGCCCCCAAGGGGGCAAAATTGGTTTGGGGGGGAGTGCAAAAAGAATTCTCTTGCTTGTGATGCCATACACACAGGTCACTTACAGATACACAGAACACATGCGGCGTTAGAACTTCACGGGCACCGTTAGGATACAGTGTCTTCAAAGAAGACTGAAAAAAGGTGAAGGAACACTCGTTTAGGAAAAGGGGCTTGCGAGCAGCCTGGAGGTTCGAGGGCAAAACGGAGGTTTTGCAGATGTGCATGAAAGGAGAAGGAGTTAGAATTTTCAGGAGAGGTGGGTTCTCCGCAGAAATGGGCTCCTGTCTCCGAGCTACCCAGAAGGCTCTTGCCAAGGCCGGCTTTATCTGCTGTGAAGACCCAGAAAGGGACTGACTCAAAGAGGCTTTGTGGCAGAACCTGGATGCGGAGACAGTGTGGCTTTCTGAGCGTCACAGCGCTAGAAATCTTTGTCTCTTAGAGTTTGTTTCTGTCTGAACCTATCCCTTGGTTAGATCGTATCTGTGTTTCCGGATGGTAAATGTACCCTGGATTTGCTAGCCGTTAGGCACACCCAGGTAGCCAGCCCCCGATGATAACAGAGATGACCAAGCCCTCCAGCCCCAGTCCCCGGCTTCCGGGACTGGGGCTCTGTCTGCCCTTGAACTTAACGCGAGTAAGGCTCTTTTCACTGGTTACTGTGCCTCTGAGGTCTGCCCCCGCGGCTGTGTGTACGGGGTAAGCTGTTCCTTCCCGGTGCCGGGGGCTTCCGTTGGAATAGCCATTGCTGGTGTGCCTGGTCTGGAACGTGTTGATCCATTCTGGTGGTGAATCGTGTTTTTGCCTAAAGCGCTCCGTACGTGCTGCATTAGGGCTGGGTTCGCTGCTGAGGGCCTGCGTGCCTTCTCCCACCTTGCCTTGCCTCCGGGGAAGGGCGCTGAACTAGGATGTGAACGAATGGAGTTCATACCGACCAAGAATGTTGGGGTCGAGGCTTCTAATTTTTAGGAAACGCTGCGACTCTGTTACTGGTGTCCCTTTGAAACTGGGAGGTCGTGCTTGGGGTTTTTTGTCGTCGTCGTTCTTTGTTTGTTTGGAAGCTTTCATTGCTGCAGCTCCCCTAAATTACCCAGAAACGGGTGAAGAACGAAGTGTGCCTACTGAGCACGGAGACCCAGTTTTAGAAACAGGGGCCGCTCTCTCCCCTGGCCTGGCTCACTGGCGCAGATGTGCCCTCCGCAGCTGTCCCCAAGCCCCGCCCCCGCCCGGGGGGGCCGGTTTCCTCTTCACACGGCAGCTGGGGGGCCCTGTGTGCACCCGTGTGAGGGAGGTGGCTCCACCTTCCCCAGCAGCTCACAGACCCCCGGGGGGTCCCCCTGGTGCCCCTCCCTTCCTGGGGCTCTGAGCCATCGCCCTCAGGAGACAGTGGCTGCTGTAGTGCGTTTATACTGCCTTCCTCAAGTCCACACCCGAGAGGGGCCCCGGGCCGGTGCGGGTCGGAGCCCAGAGCGGGCCAGCCGGGCGCCCTCTGCCTGTGACCAGAGTAGACCGTGCGATCCATGTGTGGAGCCTCCGAGAACCCGCCCCGGAACGTAAGAGCCATGAAGCCTGGCTCTCTGCGCCTGGAAAGAAAGGCCGCTTCGGGCGCTACCTGTTTGGGGTCCTCGTCAGTCGGAGGATGTTGCCGGCACCTGGAACCCGGACCGCGGGGAAGGAGAGCTGGGAGGAAGGGGAGAAGGCAGTGGAACCGCAGCAGGGGGACACAGGTCGGGAAGTGACCTGCGGGGACTCGGGGACCTGGCGCTGCCCCCACAGCCGCTCACACCGCCCGAGCCCTCAGTCCCCCCGCCCGCACCGCTTCTCCCGTGAGGCCCAGTGCCCAGCCAGCCCCCTGCAAACACCCTCCGGTGGACCAGCTACCCCAGGATGTGCTCGGACAGCCCGTGTCTTTCTGTACTGAATTTCCTGGTGTTTCTGCGCAGCGTGTGGATCCTGAGCCCCCAGAGCCTGACTGGTCTTGGAGACGCCGCTGCCTAGGGCTGACGTGTCCTTGTATCCTCCAAAGCACGTGGCCGGCACACGACAGCCCGTAAACGTCTCCCGACCTAGATCGCGTGAATTGATCCATTTTCAGTGTTTGCATTATGTCATTTGTTAACTCCCGTGCTGTATGGCGATTGAAAGTTCGGGCTCTGAAATCAGAGCCAGCCGCAAATACCAGCCCTGCCTCTCGGTCACCAGGGGGCTTTGGGCAAGTTTCCTAGAAGGTCTCTGAGCCTCGGTTTTCTTCATCTGGGAAATGGACATGATTTCAGTCCTTCCCTTGGAGGAGGGTCCTCGTGACCCACAAATGGGAGAGCACATATCCAGCGCACGGTGTGAGATTCGGATAAGCCCTGCCCTGGGGAAGAGACCATGTTCCTGCACTTTCCTGATTTCTCTTTTCTGAAAGTGGGACCCTGGGAGCACCTTAGTCGGGATGTGTCGTGGGAGTCTCTGGACCCATCAGTAGAGATGGGAGTCTCTAGCATGGCTGGGCGCTAAGCATTTTCAAAAGCCCGGGGAGAGCAGTCTTCCTCGGTGCGAGGCCTCGGTGGGAAGTGATTGTCCTGAGCTGTCGTCCTGTCTCCTTGACTCCCCAGCCGGAGCGGCAAACGCCTCATCCTCTCTCGTGAGAGCAGGAAAGGGGGGCTCTGAGGTTCCTCATGCCTTTCCCAAGATCACACGGCTAGCAAGGAGCAGATCAGGGGTTCAAACCCACGTTCTGTCCAAGTTTAGAGGCCATGCCTGAGCAATCTCACTGTCCCTACAGGAAGGAAGTTGCTAAACCTTTGTGCTCAGGACCCACAGGAAGAAAGAAAGGGGGTAGGGAGAGAAAAAGTAAAACTTCCAGTACTTGTATTTAGAAAGAAGAAAAGAAAGAAAGATGAGCGAGGAAGAGAGATAAAGTTTTTAGGGATCGTATTTATCAATAAAGAAGGCGGGAAGGAAGGGAGAATGGTAAGCTTTTACAAACTGCAGGTGATAATGCCACTTTTTTTTGTTTATTTGTTTAAAGATTTTATTGGTGGGGGAGCCTGGGTGGCTCAGTCAGCTGAGCATCCGATTTGGGCTCAGGCCAAGAACTCACGGTTCCTGGGTTCAGGCCCCGCATCGGGCCCTGTGCTGACAGCTCGGAGCCTGGAGGCTGCTTCCGATTCTGTGTCGCCCTCTCTCCGCCCCTCCCTGCTTGCACCGTGTCTCTTTGTCTCTTTCTCTCTCTCTCTCTCTCTCTCAAGGGTAAATAAACATTAAAAACTATATAAAAAAGATTTTATTGGTAAGTAATCTCTACACCCACTGTAAGGCTCAGAGCCACAACCCCGAGATCAAGAGGCTCCTGCTGCAGCGGCGAGCCAGCCGGGCCCCCTTTGGGAATTGGCATTTGCAAAGAAAGAAGGAGACCTGCAGTGCGCTCGCGCCTGTTCCCTGCCGTGCGCTCTGAGTCGTCGCTGCCCACTTTCCTTTCTTTAGGTGCTGGTTGTGAGGCAGGGGCTGAGACCAGGACCCTGCAGTGGGGGGCGGGGGGGGGGAGCCGCCAGCTTCGGTCCCCGCCCCGCCCCTGACCGGAGCTCTCCGCGCAGGTGTACCACTGGGCCGAGCACTCGACCACGGTGCTGCAGCGGCTGAACGAGCAGCGTCTGCGCGGCCTCTTCTGCGACATCGTCCTGGTGGCGGACGAGCAGCGCGTGCCGGCCCACCGCAACCTGCTGGCCGTGTGCAGCGACTACTTCAACTCCATGTTCACCATCGGCATGCGCGAGGCCTTCCAGAAGGAGGTGGAGCTCGTCGGCGCCTCCTACATCGGCCTCAAGGCCGTGGTGGACTTCCTGTACGGCGGCGAGCTGGCGCTGGACGGCGGCAACATCGACTACATCCTGGAGACGGCGCACCTGCTGCAGATCTGGACGGCGGTGGACTTCTGCTGCGAGTACCTGGAGCAGGAGGTGAGCGAGGACAACTACCTGTACCTGCAGGAGCTGGCCTCCATCTACAGCCTCAAGCGGCTGGACGCCTTCATCGACGGCTTCATCCTCAGCCGCTTCGGCACGCTCTCCTTCACGCCCGACTTCCTGCAGAACATGTCCATGCAGAAGCTGTGCGCCTACCTGGGCAGCAGCGAGGTGCAGCGCGAGTGCGAGCACGACCTGCTGCAGGCCGCCCTGCAGTGGCTGACGCAGCAGCCCGAGCGCGAGGCGCACGCCTACCAGGTGCTGGAGAACATCCACTTCCCGCTCATCCCCAAGAACGACCTGCTGCACCGCGTCAAGCCGGCCGTGTGCTCGCTGCTGCCGCGCGAGGCCAACTGCGAGGGCTTCATCGAGGAGGCGGTGCGCTACCACAACAGCCTGGCGGCGCAGCCCGTCATGCAGACCAAGCGCACGGCGCTGCGCACCAACCGCGAGCGCCTGCTCTTCGTGGGCGGCGAGGTCTCCGAGCGGTGTCTGGAGCTCAGCGACGACACCTGCTACCTGGACGCCGAGAGCGGGCAGTGGGTCAAGGAGACGCCGCTGCCGGCGCGCCGGAGCCACCACTGCGTCGCCGTGCTGGGCGGCTTCATCTTCATCGCCGGCGGCAGCTTCTCCCGGGACAACGGAGGGGACGCGGCGTCCAATCTCCTTTATAGGTATGACCCCCGCTGTAAACAGTGGATCAAGGTGAGATTAAAGCCGGATTCTTTCTTTACTCTTTGAGGACTTTCGGTCTCTTACCCCAGCCTTGACTGCCCCCTTCCTGCTTCCTGCTTCCGGACGGAGGGGGGTGTGGCCAGAAGGGGCGGGCCCCGGAGGTCCCGCCATGCCCCCAGCCCGCGCCCCGCCCCGCCCCGCCCCCCGGCCGCCGCGCAGGCGCAGTCATTGCCTTGTCCGGGGCGGGGCTCTCTAATAGGACCTTCTGCGGCGGGGGAAACGGTCCACGCCTGGGCGGTCCCGTCGATGCCCCAGCCGCCAGCCGCGTGTGGTGACTGAGCGCTCAGAACGTGGCCTGCGGCACCGAAGGACCGAACTTTCTATTTTATACCCTTTTAACTAATTCACGTCCAAGTGTAAATGGCCGTATGGGGCGGGGGGTGGTGCCGGCCCAGAGATCTGACCCAGGGTTCCAGCAGTGCCCCCCCATCTGAGAGTCTCCCCAGAGCCCCCCCCCCCCTTTGGGAACGGTCTGGAGCTGGTGGTGGCCGTGGCCCAGCAGGCGTGGGGACTCCTGGCCGGCGTGGGTCCCTCCCCGCTGGGCCGAGTCCCCGCCGGGGAGGTCCGGCCGGGCCGGGGGGGCTGGCGAGCCGCCGGCAGGGAGAAGGGGGTCCTCCTCCCCCACGACCCCCCCTCAGAAGTCAGTCTGTCCTATGCTCGCACCTCAGCGCTTCTATGTAACCGGGCGATTCTGTCTGAGCTCAAAACCCGAACGGGCTCCGAGGGTCCCTCTGTTTCACCCTCACAAATCGGCCCCCCCCCCCCCCCCCCGGCGCGGACGGCAGGACCGCCCCCCACAGCTCCGCAGGGCGGCAGCCGGCAGGGCCGGGCTCCTTTGGGACCGTGCTCACGCCTGTGTCCTGCTTGAATTATTTAAAAAAAAAAAAAAAAAGTTGAGCCCTCTGCTTTTCAGTTTCCTGGTCGCCCCTTTCTGTGCGTTCGCCCGGTAGCGAGCGGCGTCAGCTCTCGGGGTCGGCTGGGGGAGGGGCACGGCGGGAGATGGAGCTTTGTCCGAAACCTCTAATCCAGCAGCTCTGGATTCTGTGTTCTGCGGATTCGATCCGCACGGTCAGCCTCGTGGCAGACAGGTCGGGGACCGTGTTCTCTGTCCCCTTCAGGGGGGGCTTGCAGCGTCCCGAGGCTTCTGTCTCTCGTCAAGGTTGACTCCCCGCCCCCACTCGCACTTGGCCGCTGCCGGGCCTTCCCGGGCTCCGCGCGCCCAGCACGCGCTGGGGAGGTCGGGGCCCATGCGGACGCTGGCCGGGTGTGGGGAAGGGAAGGTGCAGGTGTCCCGCCTCCGCAGGTGGCCTCCATGAGCCAGCGCCGCGTGGACTTCTACCTGGCCTCCATCGAAGACATGCTGGTGGCCGTCGGTGGCCGGAACGAGAACGGAGCCCTTTCTTCGGTGGAGACGTACAGCCCCAAGACCGACTCCTGGTCCTACGTGGCGGGCTTGCCAAGGTGACTGGGGGGCGGGGGAGGGGGGGCCGAGTCCCCAGACGGGACGACTTTGGGGTTCCAGTCATCCACCTCGTTTACTCGGTATTTTGGCCTCTGATTTCAGGAAAAGCCTCCTGGCTTGTAAATAACCCTGGGGAGGGCGTGGCGGTGACAGGTCAGGGGACAGACCACCCAAGTGCAAGTTCGCCTCTGCCGCCAGGACGGAGCTCCCTCGGTCTTCGAGTCTGTGCTCTTGGGCTTGAGGGGGAGAGCGTCAAGCTCAGATAACGGGGCTTTGCCGAGAGATGTCCCTGAGCGTGGGCTGGGGTTGGTCCTAGTGGTGACAGAGCCGGGACACGAGCCGGTGTCTTTAGGCTGTTCTCCCTCCGTCTGTAGGCGGGCATGGTCACACTGCCCTTTAGGGCTGTCGGTGAGGTGTTCCCGAGGAGCCCCCCAACACGGAGCCCCCCCCACAGCATCCGGGCGCCCGGGGCTCCTCCTCTTTGGTTGCCCGCGTGGACGTGTGCTCTCGGGGTGCCGACAGGCCCCACAGAAGGTGCTGGCCACGTACTTAGCAGCTCCCCGTGGCTGAACGGGGAGACACGTGTTCTGAACCATGCGGTCTTGGGCGCGTCCCCGGAAGCCGACGGGTGCGCGGTGTGAGCACGTGGTGCCCCCACTCGCCACCACCTTCGTGTGGAGGTTCTGAGGAGCCCGTGCAGCGGTCCTTTGATGTCTGGGATCGTAGCTGCTGGTTACCACGCGTCCCCTCTGGCTAAGGCTTTATGTGACGAGTCCTGATACACACAGGGACCTGGTGAGGTGGAGGTGGGCACCCGTGTAATCTGTCACCCAAACCGGGGTGGCAGTGAGCAGGGAACGTTAACTGTAAATGCTGACCCTGCAAAGGCAAACCGGGGCTACAGTCTCCCTAGGTTTAGGCACTTTTTTTATCATCCCCTTTTACAGATGGAGGAGTGAGGCTCCGTGATCGTGATGAGGGGCTCTGTGGCCATCCCTTTGGGCCGCGGCTGCAGTGATTCCTGTGCCTACTGAAACAACCTGATTGTTTCTTCCTACATGGGCCTTAGGTGCCCGAGGTGCCGCACACACTCGTGTGTGTGGGTAAAGAGACCTCCCGGGGCTGTGGCCCCAGACGCTCCCTGTCCCGGCCACCCGCCTCCTCCTGCAGCCAGGCTCCCACACTGCCTCCCTCTGTTATGTCACCTTTGTTTGCACTTGGGTTCTGTTGTTTCCTTTTTGGTCTTTATATAAATGGCGCTTTCTTATTTTTTGTTTTAATGTTTATTTTTGAGAGAGAGAGAGAGAGAGAGCGAGCATGAGTGGGGGAGGGGCAGAGAGAGAGAAAGAGAGCGAAAGAGAGCGAGCATAAGCAGGGGAGGGGCGGGGGGGGGGCACAGAATCAGAAGCAGGCTCCAGGCTCCGAGCTGTCAGCACAGAGCCTGACATGGACCTTGAATTCCCGAGCCGTGAGATCATGACCTGAGCTCAGGTCTGACGCTTAACCACTTGACCGACTGAGCCCCCTAGGCGCCCCTGCATGGCACTTGCTAGAGAGTTTTAGGTGTACAGAAAATTGAGCAGAGGCCACAGTTCGTTCCTGTGGACCCTCTCCTCTGAGCTCACGTCCCCCGGCGCTACGTTTGTTACAACTGACGCACCCAGGTGGCCGCATGACCCTAACCGAGGTCCAGGCGCTAAGGGAAGGCTGGCTGTGTCCCCTGGGCTGTGGGTTTGGACAAAAGTAGGGGTGTGACTCCACCCTCGCATGTCATACCAAGTGGTTTCACGGCCCTGCGAGCCTCCCGTGCTCCCTGCGTTCATCCCACCCGGGCCCTGAGCCCCCGACAACCATGGATTTGTCACTGCCCTAGAATGCCACTGTCCTAGTCTTTCCCAGAATCTCACAGAGTTGAGACCGTACTTTGTTTCATTCCTGTTTGCTGTATACTTTGAAGAGGAACCGATGAGGGCCTCAACCACACAGACCTGTTGTTTTTAGCACTTAGGGGAGGGATCGGCCTTGTAATTATCCCCATCCGGACTCGCAAAGATGGTGGGGGGGGGGGCAGGCACAGCAGGGGGGGGGAGGCGCTCGCACCCGCCCAGCTCTGCCGCTGCCGCTTCCTGGACGGTGGCAGCTGCCGTCTGCGAAGCGCACAGGGGGTGCGCGCTCCCCGCGTGGTCCCCTCAGGGTCCCACAGCCCCCCTCCTGCCCCCTTCCGAAGAGGGAAAGCGCGGAGCCCCCGCGCGGGGCGGCCCAGCCTGGCGCGGCGCTGAGCCCCCTCTGTGTCCCCGCCCATCCTCCGTCTCCGCAGGTTCACCTACGGCCACGCAGGCACCATCTACAAAGACTTCGTGTACATCTCGGGCGGCCACGACTACCAGATCGGCCCCTACCGCAAGAACCTCCTCTGCTACGACCACCGCACGGACGTGTGGGAGGAGCGGCGGCCCATGACCACGGCGCGCGGCTGGCACAGCATGTGCAGCCTCGGCGACAGCATCTACTCCATCGGCGGCAGCGACGACAGCATCGAGTCCATGGAGCGCTTCGACGTGCTGGGCGTGGAGGCCTACAGCCCGCAGTGCAACCAGTGGACGCGCGTGGCGCCCCTGCTGCACGCCAACAGCGAGTCGGGCGTGGCCGTGTGGGAGGGCCGCATCTACATCCTGGGCGGCTACAGCTGGGAGAGCACCGCCTTCTCCAAGACGGTGCAAGTGTACGACCGCGAGAAGGACAAGTGGAGCAAGGGCCCCGACCTGCCCAAGGCCATCGCCGGCGTGTCCGCCTGCGTGTGCGCCCTGAAGCCGCGGCTGGAGGACAAGAAGAAGAAGGGCAAGGGCAAGAGGCACCAGGACCGGGGCCAGTGACCCCGGGGACCCGGCCGCAGGCGCCGCCGGCCCGCCGGAGCGTGAGGACCGGCAACGACTTCTCCGTAGCGTCCGGAACCATTATGTACTTCTTAGCAGCCTTTTTTACTTTTATGATTCTTGGTATTTCTATGATATCACAGTAACCGATTAAATATTCTATATAGTTTTACGTATTATCTTGCTTGAATAATTACACCAGGGCCCAGGCAGGACATAGACCCTCAGGTCTGTACGCACCCCCGAGGACGCCCCACCCCCACCCCCGCCGTCCCCCCTAGAGTCCCTCGGGGAGGGGTCACGCAGGGAAACTAGGGGCGGACCCCCAGTCCACGCCCCCTCCACTTGGCTGAGCTTTTACAAAACTCAGACTCCTGGGCCCCACTTCAGAACTATCCATTCTAAAACTACCAGGAGTGGGGGCGGAGGGGGTGCGGGGAAACTGGATTTCACCCCGTTCCTGGGATGACTGAGCACTGGCCACGTACAAGCAGTGGCCAAGGTCAAGTGCATCCGTGTTTATGAGTGGGGACACAGAGACCCCGACGGGGTGAGTGGGGGACCGAGTGACACTCACTGGACGGTCAGGCAAGACCCAAGACCTCTCAGCAGCGAGATGCTCCCGCCAAGACTTGCCGATCGGGTAACTTGCTTGTGAGTAAGCCCATTGTCCTGATTTCTAAAAGAGTCTAGGTAATCAAGAAACTAAAAAAAAAAAGGCAAGAGACTCTTTATAAACATTTTTTTCTGTAATTTGTGCCTTTTTCCCCCCTGCTTTTATTTTTCCTGAACCCGCTGTTACTTATATCACTGATGTACTGAGCCCGCAAAGTCTATGTTCCTCTCTCAGGAAAGAAAAAGCCGGCATCCTCGAATTTGCCATGGTTTTCTGTGGCCTGACGCCCACGGGAGCCCCTCCGGGAGCGAGCCAAGCACACGTCGCTCCCCGAGGAGGCTGTCAGGTACCCCCCAGCTCAGCCGTCCGCTGCTCAGCCGTTTTGTGCTGCCGGGCAAGTTCTTTAACAAGTACTGGCGGACCCCTCGCTCGGGCGGCAGGTCAGAACGGCGGGCCGCGGCCGTGTCAGTCTGTATAAGCTATTAACGCACGTTCCGCCCCTGCTGGAGCCGTGTGACCATCCTGTGCGGGTCCCTGCAGCCCTCACTAACGCTGCGCGCCCTCGAAGGCAGGCTGGGGACACACGGATGACGGGAGGGTAAGAGCGTGCTCGGTTTTTATCGCAAGCCGAGGGAGGCATTCGTGATCGATGCCTCAACAAAGATCGGACTGCAGAGATGAGAACACCTCACGATGTCTTGTCATCCTTGACGTTAGACTATGAATCTCAGTTATATCCTTTAAAAAAAAAAAGATTACCTCCTTTGTCCTTCTTTTCCTTTCCCATAAAGGATTACTGTGATCTCGAGCGGCTTGGGCCTTGAAAGTTTCAGTGCCTAACAGTACCCCTCTGTTAGTGGGGCGAGCGGTCTGCTGATTTAGCTAGTTCAGTGCACGTGGAGGTCCCTAGAGGCTTGTTGAGAGGTTCTGCAGGGATGCCAACAATCAAATCAAAAGCCGGACACTCTTCTTGAAGCTCCACAATACTTCGGTGTATTAAAGGCTCTGAGAAGTCCCGCATTGATTAACTTAGCATTCCATCAACCCAGCACTTCCAAGCTTCATTGAGCCCGAAACCCTTTTCTGCCTCCCCTCTAGAGTGGCCCTCCACAAAATGTGTTTTGCCCAACTTTGGGATAGCCTACCCCCTTCCTATTCCAGGAAAGATTTCATTATTTGCAGACCCGTTAGGAGGCATGGAACACATGGTCTTTCCTCCCCAGCTCAGCCTCACTCATGAACAAAGAGGTGGTTGGTTGTTCGACCAGATGCCAGGGGCAGGCGGGGAAGAGCACACAGATTCCACGTGTGCTCTGGGGAGCAGGATGGCTTTGGCCTTGGGAAGAGGAGAGAGAGCCATTGGTTTTTAGCGTAAGCCAGCTCTTTTATTTTTGACTCCCAGGGCATGTGCCCGGAGAAGGGCACAGTGGCGGTCGCTCCGATTTTCTTGTGCCCTGAGGAGTATGTACGGTGTCCTGCACCAACTCCTTTGTGACCTCAGTCTTGCCATCCTGAAGGCACTTTGCCATTTACCTGGCTCACAGTCTAATGCTATTAGCGTTGGGAGCGTTCTCTGAAAGGTAAGCGTGATAAGTTGTTTTTCATAAACTAACGTCACATAACTGGGGGTGGCCTCCCTGTGCTACGAAGGATTTTGGAGCCCTTCGTCGGGGTCAGTGGGAAAGCCTCGTGACCGAGGAACGGCACAGCGGTGGGACCCACGACAGCCGTCCGAGGTGTTAACGACGGAAATCGCTGCGCCCTGTGCAGTCCAGCTGAGAACGGGAGAAAATGCCCCCCCCCCCCCGCCCGCACCCCTGCGGGGCGAGGTCCCCTTGCAGCTGGCCCTTGGGACTGGTGGGCGGCCGCAGCGACACAGACTGGGTCCCTGGGGGCGGCCACCCCGACGCCCACCCAGCAGCACCACGTCCTGTCTTAGAGGACGCCTGGATCCTGTCGTGCGATCTTTCCAAATAAGTGCGGTGGGCTTCCGTGCGGCTTTGAGGGGTTTTGGTTTTTCTCGCTTTGGAAGAACTAGAGTTCTGAGCTCACAGTCCCTGTACGTTTTGAGTTTGCTCCTCATCTGCCTGCGAACCCTGTTTGCTGAAGACCTAAATGTGACACCAGAAGGAAGGAATGTAGAAAGCGGGGTGACTTACTGTGTTCTTCCTGCCGTCGGAGCACACGGGGCTCGTCTTCACGGCTTGCTTGTGCGTGAGGCTCACTCGGTACTTTCCAAGGGTTAGATGTTAAGCGTTCACATGCTCACATTTTAGAAAGGCGGCCGGACTCGCATGTCTTGGTCCGAGCAGAAAACCTCGCGTGTGTATTTATATTGTGAAATGCCCCTCCCTTTGCTTCTTAATGACAAGGTGACCTCTTAGTAGAAACCCCAGAAGCCAGCCCTACGAGGTGTTCAGGGTGGGGGTGGAGGGAATAGAGCCCGCCCTCTGAGGCCCAGGGTCCCCACTCGGAGCTGCACGGGCTAACCTGCGGTTCCGGGTCCCTGGCCCCTAAGCCAGGGGCTTGCAGCGCCGTGGGAAGTGGGGGACCTCCGCCCCCACCCCCTCCCCCTGGCAGAGTTGTCAGCCTTGAACTTCACCCCGGTCCTCCGTGGCGCGTGGCAGGGCCACCACCTGCCCGAGGGGTACCTCCCGGGGCCTTCTGTCTCTCCGAGCTTTCGAGCTTTCGGCTAGAATCTCAGACCGCGGGCCCCGCCCCGGGACGGTTCATCCTTGGCGTCTCCGTGGACTCAGTGTCTTCGGAGGGGAGGGGACAGGCGGGTCCTAACGGCAGGGTAAACCGCTGGGGTGTCAGGCAGCTCCACGGGCACCGGGAGGTCCTGCCCTGCACGTCAGCCAAGCCTGGCAGTTTTTCAAGTTTTTTGAAGTGTTTTGGTACTTTTTGATACCGTTTGCTAACAACCTCGGGAGTTTCTGGCCTCGCTCCCCACCCCACCGCCCTCCCTGGGCTGGCCCCTGACAGCAGACGCCCTGGGGTGGGTGCCCGGACCCCGCCTGCCTCCGTGGCTTTGTCTCGGATCTTGCTCTCCTCCGTGGCTGCCCTCTCATCGACAACTCTTGAATCTTGCATGGTCACGCGTGGCCCCACGTGGCCCGTGACTGTGACCACGTAGGCCCAAGGGCGCTGAGTTGCCAAGAAGACGTCCTCACCCCCTTAAGCCACTGTCGCATTTCTTCCGAAGCTCCTACCTCAGCCACGTGCACAGAGGTGGAAACGTCCCCGAGGACTGCTCCGGAATCACCCGTCTCCCAGGGGTGGGGCTCTGCTCACTGGGCCCTCAGCCACTCACCTCCACCCCTTCTTGTTAAAGACATTTCACCACGAAGTCTGTAACCGTGAGCCATCCTGCGCTTTACAGAATTACTGCACTCGGCTCGGAGGTCCGGTCCTCACTTTTTTAACATGAGTAGAATTGGTGGGCTATGAGGGGGGGTGTTGAAGTGTCAAGAAACCATCTGTTGGTTGCCTTCGTTAAAAGAGGTAAATGAACGTACAGATTGAGTGGCGGGGCCCGGCCAAGGGGGTAACCCTTCTACATCCGTGTTCTTTGAGAAAAGGAACTCCGAGTGACCTGACGTCATCGCCACAGGCTTGCCTGCATCGGAAGGGAGACTCCAGTCCTTTGGGGTCACTGAACTTAGTCACCAGCCTCCCCTCCCCGCCCCCGTTTGAAAATCAGTAAGATACTTGGCGATTAAGTAATTCACCGATTAGGTAATTCACTGGGTATGTTCTGGCTACTAATGTCACCAACATCTGTAATTGTATGCGTGTGAGTGAGTGTGTGTGTGTGTGTGTGAATTTGTTGCTTTTGTATTTGTAATTTTATGACACGTGGAGGTCTTCTTCTTTACCTCTTTTTCATTCATTTTCCGCACGTTGATTTTTTTTCCCCTTTGTTTTTAATGCCATCCAGAGTATTCGATTCTCAAAACACATTAAAATGGTTTGCCTGCTGGGGTATGGTTTATTTTATAACTACACTCCCAGTCCTGTGTGGTTATAGCAATGATCTCCGGGCCTGTGTTCTCTGCCTGAGTCAAAAAGAACCCCTTGCATGTTGAGCCCAAATATAATTTGGAAATTAACCAGGCTGCCCTTTAGGACTGGGGGAGGCTGGGGCGTTTCTGTGCTGCTTTCATTCTGCTTCTAATTACTGTATTTTGCCAGGAATTTCATTCAGAGCCTTGATTGCAGCACCAAGTCCTGTGACCTGAAATGAAGCCATTTGCTTAAATTTGTGTCAGTTGGGGAAATTTGATTAGAGAAGAAAAACAGAAACCCAGGGAAAGAAACATAGCTGATGGCGTGCAATGTATTATCTTTATCAGAAAAATAGAACGTTTCTGTGAGAACAGAGTTTGCTCTATGTCCCGTGGGCCCAAGAAGAAGATGTGGCCCCCCTACCCCTCTGGGGTTTCACAGGCCGCCTGCAGACGAGCCCGGTCACGCTTGGGAACACCTTTTCCCTGTGCCTTTAGCAGTTCGGCACCCGGAGGACGGTGGGCGGGACCCGCGCGCCCATCACACCT